TCATCTGTTTTCTATCTTAAAGTTCTCATATGAGTGAAGTCATATGATATTTGTCTTTCTCTGACTGACTTATTTCACTTAGCATTATACCTAGGTCCATCCACGTCTATGCAAATGGCAAGATTTCATTCTTTTTGATTGCTGAGTAATACTCCATTATGTATATATACCACATCTTCTTTATCCATTCATCCATTGATGGACATCTGCACTCTTTCCATACTTTGGCTATTGTTGATAGTGCTGCTATAAATATTGGGGTGCATGTGTCCCTTCAAAACAGCACACCTATATCCCTTGGATAAACACCTAGCAGTACAATTGCTGGGGCATAGGTAGTTCTATTTTTAATTTTTTGAGGAATATCCATATTGTTTTCCAGAGTGGCTGCGCCAGTTTGCATTCCCACCAACAGTGCAAAAGAGATCCTCTTTCTCTGCATCCTCGCCAGCATCTGTTGCCACCTGAGTTGTTAATGTTAGCCATTCTGTTGGGTGTGAGGTGGTATCTCACTGTGGTTTTGATTTGTATTTCTCTGATGATGAGTGACATTAAGCGTTGTTTCATGTGTATATTGGCCATCTGGATGTCTTTTTTGGAGAAGTGTCTGTTCATGTCTTTTGCCCATTTCTTCACTGGATTTTTTTTTTTTTTTTTTTTTTTGGTGTTGAGCTTGATAAGTTCTTTATAGATTTTGGATACTAACCCTTTATCTAAAATGTCGTTTGCAAATAACTTCTCTCTTCTGTCGGTTGCCTTTTAGTTTTGCTGATTGTTTCCTTCACTGTGCAGAAGGTTTTTATTTTGATGAGGTCCCAATAGTTCATTTTTCCTTTTGTTTCCATTGCCTCTGGAGACGTGTTGAGTAAGAAGTTGCTGCGGCCAAGGTCAAAGAGGGTCTTGCTTGCTTTCTCCTCGACGATTTTGACAGCTTCCTGTCTTACTCTTAGGTCTTTCATCCATGTTGAGTTTATTTTTGTGTATGGTGCAAGAAAGTGGTCCAGGTTCATTTTTTTGTATTTCACTGTCCAGTTTCCCCAGCACCACTTGCTGAAGAGACTGTCTTTACTCCATTGAATATTCTTTCCTGCTTTGTCAAAGATTAGTTGGCTATGCATTTGTGGGTCCATTTCTGGGTTCTCTATTCTGTTCCATTGATCTGAATGTCTGTTCTTGTGCCAGTACCATATTGTCTTGATTATTATAGCTTTGTAATACAACTTGAAGTCTGGAATTGTGATGCCTCCTGCTTTAGTTTTCTTTTTCAAGATTGCTTTGGCTATGCAGGGTCTTTTCTGGTTCCATACAAATTTTAGGATTGTTTGTTCTAGCTCTGTGAAGAATGCTGGTGTTATTTTGATAGGGATTGCATTGAATATGTAGATTGCTTTGGGTAGCATTAACATTTTAACAATATTTGTTCTTCCTATCCAGGAGCATGGAATATTTTCCCATTTTTTTTGTGTGTCTTCTTCAATTTCTTTCCTAAGCTCTCTATAGTTTTCAGTGTATAGATTTTTCACCTCTCTTGTTAGATTTATTCCTAGGTATTTTATGGGTTTTGGTGCAATTATAAATGAGATAGATTCCTTGATTTCTCTTTCTGTTGCTTCATTGTTGTTGTATAGGAATGCATCTGATATCTGTATGCTGATTTTATATCCTGCCACTTTGATGAATTCATGGATCAGTTCTAGAAGTTTTGTGATGGAATCTTTTGGGTTTTCCATATAGAGTATCATGTCATCTGTGAAGAGTGAAAGTTTTACTTCCTTCTGAGCGATTTGATGCCTTTTATTTCTTTGTGTTGTCTGATTGCTGAGGCTAAGACTTCCAGTACTATGTTGAATAACTGTGGCAAGAGTGGACATCTCTGTCATGTTCCTGACCTTAGGGGGAAAGCTCTCAGTTTTTCCCCATTGAGGATGGTATTAGTGTTGGGTCTTTCATATATGGCTTTTATGATCTTGAGGTATGATCCTTCTATCCCTACTTTCTTAAGGGTTTTTATCAAGAAACGATGCTGTATTTTGTCAAATGTTTTCTCTGCATCTATTGAGAGGATCAGGTGGTTCTTGTCCTTTCTTTTATTGATGTGATGAATCACATTGATTGTTTTCCGGATATTGAACCAGCCCTGCATCCCAGGTATAAATCAACCACTTGGTGAATAATTTTTTTTGATGTATTGTTGGATCTGGTTGGCTAATATCTTGTTGAGGATTTTTGAATCCATGTTCATCAGGGAGCTTGGTCTATAATTCTCTTTTTTGGTGGGGTCTTTGTCTGGTTTTGGAATCAAGGTAATGCTGGCTTCATAGAAAGAGTTTGGAACTTTTCCCTTCATTTCTATTTTTTAGAACAGCTTCCAGAGAATAGGTGTTAACTCTTCCTTAAATGTTTGGTAGAATTCCCCTGGAAAGCCATTTGGCCCTGGACTCTTGTTTTTTGGAAGATTTTTGATTACTAATTCAATTTCTTTACTAGTTATGGGTCTGTTCAAATTTTCTACTTCTTCCTGTTTCAGTTTCGGTAGTTTGTATGTTTCTAGGAATTTGCCCATTTCTTCCAGATTGCCCATTTTATTGGTGTATAATTGCTCATAATATTCTCTTATTGTTGTTTGCATTTCTGCTGTGTTGGCTGTGATCTCTCCTCTTTCATTCTTGATTTTATTTATCTGGGTCCTTTTTTTTTCTTTTTGATCAAACTGGCTAGTGGTTTATCAATTTTGTTAATTTTTTCAAAGAACCAGCTTCTGGTTTCATTGATCTGTTCTGGTTTTGTTTTTGTTTTGTTTGTTTGTTGTTGTTGTTTGTTTCAATAGCATTGATTTCTGCTGGAATCTTTATTATTTCCTGTCTTCTGCTGATCTGTGTTTTTTTTTTTTTCTTTCTGTTCTTTTTCCAGCTCTTTGAGGTATATGGTTAGATTGTGTATCTGAGACCTTTCTTCCTTCTTTAGGAAGGTCCTTTAGGAAGGACCACTGTTACTGTGTCCCAGAAGTTTTGGATGGTGGTGTTATCATTTTCATTGTCTTCCATGTACTTTTTATTTTCTTCCTTAAGTTCTTGGTTAGCCCATTCATTCTTTAGTAGGGTGTTCTTTAGTCTCCATGTATTTGCTATCTTTCCAAATTTTTTCTTGTGGTTGATTTTGAGTTTTATAGCATAATGGTCTGAAAATATGCATGGTATGATCTCAGTCGTTTTGTACTTGTTGAGGGCTGATTTGTGTCCCAGTATGTGTTCTATTCTGGAGAATGTTCCATGTGCACTGGAGAAGAATGTATTCTGCTGTTTTAGGATGAAATGTTCTGAATATATCTATTAAGTCCATCTGGTCCAGTGTGTCATTCAAAGCCATTGTTTCCTTGTTGATTTTCTTTTTAGATAACTTATTCATTGCTGTAAGTGGGGTGTTGAAGTCCCCTACTATTATGATATTACTATCAATGAGTTTCTTTATATTTGTGATTAATTGATTTCTACATTTGGGTGCTCTCACATTTGGAGCATAAATGTTTACAACTGTTATGTCCTCTTGGTGGATAGACCCCACTAATTGGAAATATTTAGCATGACTATCATGAGGACTGAGAAGCAACTCTTTCTGGAATCTCTGAGTGCCTGGCTCTGAAATGAGCTCTGGACAGAGGACAGAGGAAGGAGGAGAAGGAACCTCAGACTTGGAGTGAGATAGGTATAGGGGGGAGGAGAAGGGGGTTGATGGGCATGGAGGAGGGCACTTGTGGGGATGAGCACTGGGTGTTGTGTGGAAACTAATTTGACAATAAACTTTTTGTAAAAAAAAAAACAAATATGATGCCTGTACCATTAAAATATGAGTAGATTAAAAAAAATAAAAAGAAAGTCTGAGATCAAGATGCAAGGATAGTTCGGTTATGATATGCATTTACCACAATAGCAAAGCAGGTGGTTGTGTATTCTCCTGGTCTCCCCACAATGAACCCAAGTAACATTGTACAACAGTGGGAAAAAATGGCAAAATGGAATGGGCACAAAGCTGAAGGGGCACAGGAGAAATGAGAAGAGATGAGGCTGGAGGTAAGGTTCAAACTGACTGTGAGTGGGGTTCATGAAGACACAGAGACCTTCATGGAAATGCTGCCATGGATACTGTTCCCAGAGTCTAGGTATGCAGTCAGAGGAGTGGAGTGAAGGTAAACTTTACCATGTCACTGAGGAAAGTAGGGGAGGGAGGATGGAAATGTCCCGGAGGAAATGATGCCAGCAACTATTCACATTAATGTTGTCAAGAATTCACAGCATTGTAAGTGCAAAGGATGGAATGTTGCAAGGTGATCCCAATTTAGAGAGGAGGGAGATAACTCAGACACTTGCTCTATATCGTCAACTGTGAAGTCAGAGGAAAGCAAGCCCTCTGCAAACTACTCTTGATAAATCTTTACAAATACAACTCTTCCCTTTTCAATGTTTCTAATGTTTCAACAGCCCATATACCAAGTGAATAGGTTTGCTGTTTTTTTTTTTTTAAACGTTTATTTATTTTTGAGACAGAGACAGAGAGAGCATGAGCTGGGGAGGGGCAGAGAGAGAGGGAGACACAGAATCTGAAGGAGGCTCCAGGCTCTGAGCTGTCAGCACAGAGCCTGACATGGGCTCGAACCCATGGACCGTGAGATCATGACCTGAGCCAAAGTTGGACGCTTAACCGACTGAGCCACCCAGGCACCCCTGCTGTTTGTTTTTTTTTATGTCCCTATATATTCATGACTGATTGTTGGAGGGTTTCTAAGGTGTTGAACAAAGTTTCTAAAGGTCATAGAAAAATCATTACTTTTCCCACTGATTATGGGCATCACCTCACATAATTTCAGCTGAACCAGCATTGTTTTGGTCCTGCATCACCGTGCAAAGTGAGCACTGTCTCCATTTATCGAGTTGGATGATCTTACGTTCTAGGGAAACAGTTCAATTCAAGTATGAGCTGTAGGAACACAGACTGAGAGAGTGGAATTGATTTTTTATGTGGGGTGTTTTATTGAAGGGGCTTGAAAGAGGAAGAGACTGCGCCATGCACATCTGTAGGGGGAAGAAGCAGAGGAGGGGGTACAATTTGACTTCCATTTCCACAGGGTCACTGGCTGCAACTAGAGAGTCTGTTAAGGTCATAGCAATTGTCCAGGAAGGGATACTTGTGGCTGGGACCAGGAAGCAGCCCGGGAATGAGCAGTGTGAAGAATCTAGATGGAGTTCACAGTGTGTGGGAGGAGGCTTGCACTGACACCTAAGACTTTTTCAGAAATTTTGTGAGCTAATTCAATTGCTGGTAGCTTGAAATTGGCCACATTGGGAGTGTAGATACCAGAGAAGTGGACAAGCACTACAAATCGGGCTTCTTTTTCCTTCTGAGAGTGGATTGTTTACCATTTACCATCTTGCCACTGGACATAGCTTTATGAAGGCAGACTTGAACATGGGATATGAAGAAGGAAATCATGGATGCTCCTGATTCTGAACTGTCAGCACGGTACCTAAGCAGGACTGGAAAGCATGCAGGTGAATGAAGAGCTAGTATTCTCATCACAGGGAATGGAAGGAGTCTTCTCTCTGGGTTTGAGGAGTAAGACATGTAGGCAAAGAGGAAGGAGAATCCTTTCTCTTCTTCATTCCAGGATGGGATTCATTTGTATTCAAGAGGCATTAGAGAACTTCACCCAGGCTGGGGAATCTGGGGGTTGGGAGAAATAACCTATGAGATCATGGACTTGAGTCTGTACTTCATGACCACTGTCCCCAGGAGAAGGATGAGAGATAGCCTGGTATGTGTACATGTGACTTGTTTCTCATATTCTAGTAGGATTGCCATGTGCCAGTCTCCAGAGATGTTCCATGGCCCCTGCTCAAAACAGGTATGAAGACCCAGCTTTGGGGTCATCAAGGACTGTGAGAAGGAGCAGCAGGAACTGTGGCAGGTGGGTCTCTGGGGAAGAAGGCATTTGGGGCAGAGTTATGGATACTTCTAGTTGTTCCTTGTATTATCCTGGGCCCTTTATGGAAGGAAAGAGGCAGCAGAGACTGAGGGGAATTGTAGCAGGGGAGGAAGGAGCTGTGGACCCATGTTCACATTTCATTATCTGCTCACCATTCCAGAAATGTTTTCTATGTGTCTCCTATGTCCTTGGTGCTATTTTCCTCATGGGACACCTGTTGCGAGAGGACAGGCAGCCCCTGACAACAGAGTCTGCCTCCTCAGCCTTCATCCCTAGGTCCTGATTCCCCTTCCTGACCCTTCCAGTCTGTCCCATAGAGGGTCAGAGTGGGAGGTGTCCCCAGAGCAACCGGCGGGCAACTGTCAGATTTCCTCTAACTGTGGACTCCTTGTGCCCAAAGAATCTAGAGATGGTCTCCAAGAGATTTTCCCACCCAGCTGGCCCTCATTCAGCCCACTTCCTTCTCAGAAGCCCTAGGACTCTGTGCACATCCTTTGACAGCTGTTGACCCCGCCCACCTCCTATAGGACCTGATAGTCTTCCTGGGAGTTTGGACGCTCCCAGAGGGATCCCTGAAGCTCTTGAGGGTATCGAGGGAGGTATGTCACCTGCTCTTTACTCCAGGTGGGTGCTGACCCTGTGTGACCTGTGGGCTGCTCCTCCCACTGACCTGGCTCTTTCTGGGATGGACTTTGCACTGTCCTCCTCATCCATAACTCACAGTCAATCCATTGCTTCCTGTGGACATAGATGGCAGAGACAGTGATGAGCAGCAGCAGCTTGGGGCCCAGGCAGAGAGTCACCAGGAGTGGAGTGGACAGTTCTTGATCTGGAAATGAAGGGACAGGAGGCACCTTCAGAGGAGGCATCCAGGAGTCCACTCCCAGGGGCCTCTACTTACCTCATCTGAGGAGCCCTGGACCCATAAATGCCCTGAAGCTCATGAATCTCCCTGCAAGAGGCTCAAGGCAGAATTACAGTTGAAGTGCCTCATTTCCCTCACCCCTTCTCAGGCTATCAGGTGTCCTTCCTGAGGGAAGGGGTGGAGACATGAGCACTCAGTTACCTGTACATGAGCTTTACTGACTTGGTCCCCACACCCTATGGTGCAGGACTTTCATCCTCTTTCAGATGAGGGAACAGGCTCACAGTTTACAGAGGGTCAAAGATGAGTGGGATATCCCTCACTGCTGTCCCTTAGGGTGAATCTGAGACCTTGTCTCTGGACCAGAACAGTCCAACCTCTCAGATTTACATCAAGAAATTAAAATACGTTTTTGAAATATATGGGATAATCCTAGAGGTAGGAGCAGAGACCCACCATTTTTACCCCTGGTGTGTTGGAGGGTGGCAGGTCTCAGCTGGGTGGCCCTCTGGACTTTTTGTCAGTTGAAAGAACTGCATTGCCCATGTTTGCACTTGCTTCTAGAGGGCAGCCTGCAGCAGAGTACTGAAGAAGTGCGGATACAGAAGTTTCACCCTTCTGTTCCATTTAAAACACATCAAAAACAGCATCTAGTTTGCCTGTTTTCTGTCAAGTATGGCTTGATATACTTTCCAAGTATGACTTTTCTGTGCTGCATTGTGTTCAATGTCTCCCTTTGCCAGTCTTGCCTCCTTCCCTGTCTCACATGCATGGGAATTGGGCAGAACGCCACACTGAGCTTTCCCCCTTTACATATGACCTTACAGGCTGCTTCCCAAGGCAGTTGACCTGTGGAGTTTGTCAGGGAAGTGTCTGGAAACCCAGCTTTAATGTGCAGATTTGGTTCTGGGACCTGGATCTCTATCAGTTGGCTGGCCAAATGTCCCCGGCCTTGGTGGGCAGTAATGCAGGGTAGGACCTGGCTTGCCCTGCTATTGTCACTGCTAAACCTCAAAGTGGTGACCTGGGATGGAGTAGGTCGAGGAGGGGAGTACTCTGGTAATCTTGAAATAAACTGTAATTATAAAACTACAGGATTGGCAGCTGTTGCTGGGCATCAGTCCTTTGGAGAAAGACAACGCAAAGTGAAGCTGGATTGATCTCATATGAAAAGTTCTGTGTGAAAGAGAAAGGAATTCCAGGGAAAATTGTAGACTCTTATTCCTAGAGGTGGAAGGCAGAAAAAGCTAAGGACATAATTGGGTCCAACCCATAAGGGTATCAGTGCTACAGAGAAGATTGGATTCTCAGCTTCAGTGCATCTGTTTTGGTAGAATAGGGCTGTGATCGGAAATATAGAAGATAGGTACTGAGGTATGGGATAGAGACTTTGGAGACAAACATTCAAAGTCCTTGGGGTACTTGTGTCTGCTGAAAACAAGGCAGAAGCTTAGTTACTCATCTCTGAATACAGCTTCTGAACCCAAAGAAAAGCAATAAAAGGACGGTAAATACTGTGGAAACCTGGCTGTCAGTAGTCCTTGAAGAGCAATCTGAAACTGCAAAATCTATGGGAGACAAAGGAGAAAAATCACCGAATCCAAAAGCACAATCCTTTATGCCACTGCACACCCACCCTCACCAGCCACAGGAAAGGGCAGGCAAAGAGGACAAGGGCAGCTATACAAGATGCCTGAGGATTTTTTTTAGAAATTCCACTGCCAATATGAAATCCAGCTTAAATGAGAAAATGTTGGAAATGTGTCTTGCACATCAGGACATAGATCATAGAAAATAGTTTCAAAGTATACCTGACTTAAGATAGTTGGCCCACATCCCCCAGAGCCTGTGCATATGTGGTCCCTTACATGGCAAGACAGACTTCATGGTAAGTAGCTACAGTCTTGAGGGGGTCGTTATCTTGGACTATCTGAGTGGAGCCAACTTAATCACTAAGACCTTTACAAGTGAAGGAGGGAGGCAGGAGAGTGGGAGCAGGAGGCATAGTGACTGCAGCAGGAGGTAGTCTGGAACAGGACCCTAGGAGTGGAACAGCAAGGACACAGACTCTCCTTCAGTTCTCCCAAAGGGAATGCAGCCCTGCCAACTCATTGTAGACTTTCGGCCTCTAGAAATGGAAGGAAAAAATTGCGTTGTTTTAAGTCACCAAGCATGTGCTAATTATTACAGCAGCAGTAAGAACCTGATACAGGGAGGCAGGGAAATTTAAAAAGAAAGATGTGCACAAAGGAGGCAGGCATGATTTAAAATGCATAACTTTGGGGTAAAGGCAAAAAAGATGGAACAGCTGCTGTTTCAAAGTTGAGTAGTGAAGGGAAGAAAGAAAAATGGGGTAGGCAACCTAAGCATCCTGAAAGAAGAACCATAAAGTTCAGAGGTCTCAGAACCTCTCTCCCCCAACTATCCAAGCCAGCCAACCAACCCCTGTAACATATCTGGTTATGCTATAGTGAGAGAACAGAGGTCTATTAGACTATAAGTATTATAAAATACATCAATACCACAAACATGAACAGAAAGATGTGCATTCTTATGCCAACCCATTGGACCAATGATAGTAGTGACAGGAGCCCCGGGATGCCCAGGGGAGGCCCTGGCATCCTGGTGCAGCAGGGTCACATAGGCATCTTTCACTTGCCTCCAGCCCTCCAACCCAGACAACCCTAATACCCATTTCCAGTTGTAGCACACTAGAAAGCTTGCTAGTTCAGGCACATTGGAAGCACCAGAAGTAACATCCCTAGTAACAGCCCCAGTGCAAGGCCAAAAACTAAAAGCCTAACCCAAGCCAATCCAGAGGAAGTGATGTTGACTTGTCTCTTCCTGCTCTCCCGGTTTAGTACAAGACTGACCCCTGGAAATCATATGAAGTCCAGGAATAGGAAGACTCTGAAAGGTGGAATAGGAAGGAAGGCAGGCTGAATGCCTTCAGTCTGGAAGAATACAGCACCAGATATCCTGGCTCCATGCTACTGAATCCCTGGACTCAGAAGGAGACCCAGGTGAAGAATTCAAACAAAGAAAGACTAGTATTGACAATCCTAGCTCCCATTTCAAAAATGAGGAAGAGCAAAATAAACCCAAATCAATAAGAAGAGGGGAAAAAGTGGAGAAAAATTAATGAAATTGAAAATAAAAAATAGAGAAAATCACTAAAATAAAAGTGAGTTTATTGGAAAGATCGATAAAACTGAAAAACTGCTAGTAATTCTGACAATGAAAAAGAAGGAAATGAAATATTTCCAATATCAGGAAAGAAATAGGATATTACTACAGACCCTACAGATATCAAAAGGATACCAAGGTACTATTATGCGAACTCTATGGGTAGAAATTTGACAACTCAGAGAAAATGGAGCAGCTTACTCAAAAGCACAACTTGCCACAGACATCCAACATGAATTGAAGAATTTGAGTAGTCCTAGCTATTCAGATTCTCTTTATATATATAAAAAAACAATTCTGGAGTTCCTTGTGGCTTCACAAGAAAGTTCCTCCAAGCATTTAGAGATGGAATAAAACCAAGTTTGGTGCACAAAATAAAGTCTTAGAAGACATTTTGGAAAATCTGAATATAGATTCCATTTTAGCTGGTAGTAGGTAGTTATTGTTACTTTTACAAAGTGTATAATGGTATTGGTTTTGTAGAAAAGTCAAAGTCACTAATCACATGACCACACAATTATGAACTGCATTTGCAACTGGATGTGCATCCATGAATAAATCATTAGTGGACTGAATTATGCAACTTATGCATACCTCTAGTTTTAAGAGGAATTGTTTGTTCTCCACTTCCTATCTCTACTCTCCTAGTCAGCAGGGCCATGGACACTTGGTGACCCAGTTTTGACCCAGCAATGAGGACAATGTCCTAGGGTATGTGAGAAGAAAATGGGCCTTTGAAAGGTCTTCTGGACCAAAGACTCCTGGAAACATGGCTCAAACTCCTCCTGACATTACATGAGAGAGAAATAAGATATAATTTGGTCATAGAAAGGGGACCTATAGGTCCTTGGGACAATGCTCAGCTGCTATAACTAACACATGTTTGTTCTACAGGCTGGTGGTCCCTGTCTGCAAGGATAAGGTTTTCCTTGGCTAGTTTAGCCCATCAGCTGGATTAAGGGCAGGACATCTTCACCATCTGTCCCCCATTGCTCCCTGAGTCCCTTCTGTAAAACTACAAGCTCCCAGGGTGGTTGAAGCAGGAAGAAGATCAGAAATGACCAGGAATTGGCATCAAATAAATGTGCAGTGAGTAATCGCTTTGATAATTAATCAAAGCAGGGGACAAAGGTGGCTTGTGTTGTGAGCACTCATGGACACCTGGGAGCCTGGTCCAAACTCAAAACTCTGTCCTCAGGGTTCCCTTCCAGAATTTGAGAGGTGCTGGGGTGAGGATAGAAAAATGTAAGAGGGATAGATGTCAGGCCCAGGTGAGAAAGAACAGAGGAGGGGGTGGCTGGATTGGCACGGTGACATAAGTCCTGTCTGGTGAAGGCGCAGAAGAGAGTACCTAGCAGCAGGACCATCTCCCCTCAGCTGCTCTTTCTTTCTCTAAGGTATGTTTATGTCGAAATCTCTAAAAAGCTATGTGTCAAATCTTAACAATGGTCACTCTTGGATCATGGGTTTCGGGGAGGGAAGCTCATATCAAAATTCTACTTTATATCTATAGATTTCCAGATTATTCTGTAATAGGCATGAATTACTGCTTTTAACATGAGAAAAGAAAAGATAAAATTTGAAATGCCTGGTCAGTGGGCATGTTGGCCTCACCCTGGGTTGCAAGTGTTTCCTGGTCCCTCTGGTGGGCAGAGGCCACAAGGGTGTGGGTTTTGGTGACCGCGGGCTGCCCGTCATGCTGCACCTGGCAGGTGAAAACCACATCTTCCGTGTGGGTGGATACATTCACCAGGAGCCAGCTCGTCCATTTAAAGGTCCCATCCTTGTTCTCTATGAGGTTTGATGCCAACGTGGCCGTTTCTGTTCGTGACACGCTTCCGTTCTCCAACCAGGTCAGCTGGAGGCGCTGGGGGTAGAACTTCTTCACTTGGCAAGTGACCTTCACCTGGTCCCCTGTCCGGGGTTGCTGGGCAATCTCCACGGTGGGTGAAACTGAAACAGCACAGAGAAGAAGCTCTGACCTCATGAAACAGACACATCACAGGGTGGGGCTAGAGAACTTAGCTCCCCCCACGCAGCAAGGGAATTACCCAGAACAGTGGGTGCTCAAACACTGAGGGTAGTGTTTGCCTGGGAAAGAAATCGCTAAGCACACTGCTAGGTACTCAGTAGGTGCTCAAGGACTGGTGGCTCCCATTAGGGTAATAATGAGTGAAATCAAGATCCAGAGCCCCTGGCATGCAGTTGGAATAGAGTAACTAGCAAAATACATGAAATCACCAAGCATATAGTGGTTAGATTACAGGAGGTGCTCCCAATAGCATGGCTATGGGAAGGTAATGAAACTACCCAGCACAGTACTTGGCACGTGGTAGGGGTTCACCTGGAATCTGCCATATAAAACAGTAGGAGGTGACTCTGGGTGCCCGGTGATGGGGAGGGTCTGTCAGGAGTCAGGTTCCGGGGGGTGGAAGGCTGGGAGCACAGAGTGGGGGAGGGGCAGGCTGGGAGACTTGGGGGCCTGGCGTGGGCTTGGGCTGGGGGTGACGGGCATCTACCTCGCAGGGTGTCGGACAGGTTGGCCGTCCCACGAAGAGGAGGGCCCCCCTGCAGCGTCTCGTGGTCCACCTCGCAGATGAGCTGGGAGCGGACGTCCCCCGGGGCCAGCACCAGCGTGGCGCTGCTGGAGACGCTGTAGGAAGCGCTGTCTCCCTCTGGGTCCACGGTGGTCCGGGAGGCTGGCAGCTCGTTCCCGTTTTTGAACCATTTCAGGGTGACGTTTCTGGGGGAGAAGCCGTGGGACTCGCAGGTGAAGTTCACTGGCTGCTGGGGCGCGACCCTGGCCGTGGGGCCCGACACCACGGGGGGAGAGGGTTTGGCTACGAGAGGAGCATTTATGAAGGGTAAGCACGACCGTGGTCATCGTCCCCAACGACAGGTGTGTGACACTGTGCAGAATGTCACACGGATTCTTTTTCAGCCCTTCTGATAGTGCTGGGAGGGCGGGGTCAGAGATTGACTCGGAGTCGGGGGCAGGGCCCACGTGCAATTCCAGCCCAAGTTCAAGGTCCCCATTGTCGTCCATTTCAGGGGACTTTCCACCCCTGAGGACACAGGAGGGACATTTCTGGTGGGTGTCACTCTTGGTCTCCACCGTTCTGAGCTGCCTCTCTGGACACGTTAGTGACTTCAGAGAGCGTGTGCAGCAGTCAGTGCAGGGGTGGGGGCAGGGGGGGAGCGGGACCCCCATGAGAGCTGGAACCAGGTGTCCAGCCGGCTGGAGGCGGGGACATGGCCCTGCCCAGCGCCCCCTGTGAGATGGGACAGCAGGCCTTTCTCCTTCCCCGGGTGGCAGTGGGGGGCACATGAGGCAATGCAGGCAGTTTTGCTTTGAATTTACCACTGAAAATGCTTCTCCAGAACCACACAAACTCAGATCTATCTTCATCCCAAACTTAATTTACACCTGGAGCTCTCCCTTCAAGTAGTTGTGAATTTACTCTACTTTTCACTCTTTCTACAAATACTCCATAGGGTCTAACCTGCAATCCCTGAATCTGAGAGGGAAGGAATGAGGGGCTGTTTTTCTGAATCTGTGTTCTATTGTTGGGTCAGTGTTGGGTTGAAAACCAAGATCCCTGAGTGCTGAGAAATCAAAGGTGGTTAGTTCTTAATTGTGAAATAATTTCCAGGCAGAGACACCAGCCTACAGAGTAAGCAGAAACTCTCTGGGTCTTGGAAGCACACACATCAGTGACTGGAAAGGGTGGGCATTTCACCCACAGAAGGTCCTGTACGGTGTCTCCAAATTGTAACTTATTACCCAACACTTTCTAGAACAGTCTGCAGAGGGCACATTTATAGATACATGTATTTGTGAATACTTAACTTCCTTTCTAAAACTCAGCAAACATTCTGAAGACACAGGTAGGAGGTGTCACATGAGTAAGTCAAGTCATGATAATGCCAGCAGCCCTGATACCCCTAGACGGACAAGGTGCTGTGATTGGCTGTGTTGAGAGTGTCTAGGTCCCTGATGCTAGGCTGACCCTCTTACCCTCATCTCCTTCATCCCCATGCCTGCCTTGTGATGGGGTACATGGTGTGTCCTCAACATTCATGGGACACTGACCACGTGCCAGGCACTGCTGTAAGCACCTTTCAACGCATTCGCTCACTCAGTCCCTGCAGCGGCTCTGTGGGTTTGTGTGGTCACAGACAGATGAGGACGCTGAGCTCAGTGGCGGGAATGACTCATCAGTAGTCACAGGGCCAGGAAGGCAGACCTGGTTGGGAGCTCAGGCACTGGTACTAGCTGTAGTGACCAGGCAAGGGACATACCACTGGGACCTTCTGTAATACCTGCATAATCAGGATCAAGCCACCTTTCCTCCCTATGCCTGGGAGTATGAGGAGACTCAGTTGCTACTGTGAGAGTCAGTCCCTAAATCACAGGAACATTTTCCGACCAGACACACAGTAAGTGACCAACATCTGGCATCTCTTCTACCAGGGGCGGCAGAGTAACCGGGGCTTCTGTGTCCCTTCTCCCTGTGATATCCTGGCTGTTTATAAGGAAACTCATCTCCCCCTCCCTGTGCTGGGTGCATTTGTCCTCACTGGAAGGGCTGGGAACATAAACTTCACGAGAGAGGAAGCCTTACCTGTTTTGTTCTCTATTACTCCCACAGCACCCAGAGCAGAGCCTGCACACAGCAGGTGCTCAGTAAGTGCTGAGTAAAGAGAACACTGGCCACCTAGAGCAGAGGTCTCTCCAGAGGCTGGGATGTGGTCAGTCTTTGCAACTGGGCAAGTCACTCAGCCTTTTAGTCCCTCATCTCTGGAACCAGAGGGCTGGTTAGGATTGGAAAAGGGAAGACCTTGGAGCCTGAGGACTGCCGGTTCTAGATTTTCCCACCGTTTACCAGCCGTGAGGTCTTCATCAAATAGCACAACCTCTCCAGGCCTCAACTTCTCTTCTGTGGAAGAGGCTGATTCAGGGACACCCACTACAGCACCTGATCCTTATCTGTTACTCAAACAATGGAGGGCATTCTTATTGACTTGTTACAGCCAGAGGACAAAGAAGACCACACTCACCATTCACGGTGACCTGGGTGCCTGGTCCAGACTTAAACTCCACATCATGAGCCCCTTTCTTGAACTTCACACAGTAGTAAGTTCCCGTGTCTGCTGGGGTGATGTTATTGATACGGATGGAAAAGTCCATTTTTTGCCTTTTCACATCTGAAATATTTGTTACTTGGGGGGAGTGGCGGTATCCATTGGAACTGAAGATTAACTCCCGGCTTGGCCCCGTCCCCCTGAACCACTCCACCTTCCCAATGGGGAGCAGGGAGGTCACGGTGCAGCGCAGAGTGGCCGTCCCTCCGGCTGCCACAGACACCGACCTCTCAGGCTGGATCACCTGCAGCTCCGCCTCATCTGCCACACCTGGAGGGAACACAAAGCAGGTGTTTCTCATCCTCGTGTGATCTCGTCTGTCTTCTCAAGTGTTTATCCACAATAACTTTCATCGCCTGAGTGCACACCGTGAGTGGGCCTTAAGCTTGCACCATGGATGCACGTGGCGTGTAACCCTCATGATGACCCTGGAACACAGGACCCTATTACAGCTGAGGACACTAATCCACAGAGAGATTGACTGATGTGGTGCACGGCAGGACGGAGTGCCTCAGCCCTCTCTGAAAGTGTTGTGCTTCCCCAAATGACTCTGCTGGTCCACTGTCTGGCCCCTTGGGATGTTATACTTTCTAAATCCTTACATTCAGTGAGACCATGAGACTTCTTTACACCATTGTGTGTGAGTTAAAGTGATGGATATATATTCTGGGCTGTGCATTTAACTTCCAGAACCCTCTATGGATCAACTTCCTTCCTCCACAAGCACATACACATGCTGGGGTCTGTTCCATTAGCCTGGATAACTGAGCTTTCAACACACAGTAAACATGTACTTAAATGAGAAGCAAAGCATTCTTTCAAAAATCTGTGGGTTTTTTCTTATACCATAATCATATTATTTTATTTATTTTTTTAATTTTTTTAAATGTTTTATTTATTTCTAGGAGAGAGAGAGAGAGAGAGACAGCATGAGCAGGGTAGGGTCAGAGAGAGAGGGAGTCACAGACTCTGAAACAGGCTCCAGGCTCTGAGCTGGCAGTCAGCACAGAGCCCGACGCGGGGCTCGAACCCAAGAACCGCGAGATCATGACCTAAGTGAAAGTCGGACGCTTAACCATCTAAGCCACCCAGGCGCCCCCATATTATTTTTTTTAATATAATTTATTGTCCAGTTGGCTTACATACAACACCCAGTGCTCATCCCAACAAGTACCCTCCTCAATACCCATCATTCATTTTCCCCTCTCCCCCACCCATCCCTATCCATCCTGTTTGTTCTCTGTGTTAAAAGTCTCTTGTGGCTGGGGCGCCTGGGTGGCTTAGTCGGTTAAGCGTCCGACTTTCGCTTAGGTCATGATCTCGCGGTTCGTGGGTTCGAGCCCCGCGTCCGGCTCTGTGCTGACTGCCAGCTCAGAGCCTGGAGCCTGTTTCAGTCTGTGACTCCCTCTCTCTCTGACCCTCCCCTGCTCACGCTGTCTCTCTCTCTCTCCTAAAAATAAATAAAACATTAAAAAAAAATTAAAAAAAAAAAAGTCTCTGTGGCTTCCCTGCCTCCCTCTCTGTTTGTAACTATTTTTCCCCTTCCCTTCCCCCATGGTCTTCTGTTAAGTTTCTCAAGATCCACATATGAGTGAAAGCATATGGGATCTGTCCTTCTCTGGCTGACTTATTTACTCAACATAATACCTTCCAGTTCCATCCACATTGCTGTAAATGGCTTCTCTCTTTTATGTCGTTGGTAGGAATATAAAATGGTGCAGCCACTGTGGAAACAGTGGATTTTTTCATTAAATTTTAAATATAGAATTTACAATGTGATCCAAATATTCCAATCTTGGGTAAATACCCACCAAACTACAGGTATGTTATCAGATATTTGTATGTCCGTGCTCATAACAGCATTCATGACAACTGAAAGGTAGGAGAAAAAACTAATTTCTTTTTTTGTTGTTTGTTTACTTATTTTGAGAGAGACAGAGAAAGCATGAGTGGAGGAGGGGCAGAGGGAGAGAGGGAGACAGAGAATCCTAAACCAGAGAATCCTAATCTGCACTGTCAGCAAGGAGCCTGTTGAATGCACAAAACCATGATCATGGCCTGAGCCAAAACCAAGAGTCAGATGCTTAACCTACTGAGCCACTCAGGCACCCCAGAAAAATAACTCATTTCTATCCATAGATGAGTGGATTCACAAAATATTGATAGATATATACAATGGAATTATATTCTGCCTTAATAAGCAGTGATAGTCTGATATGTACTATGATATGGATGAACTTAAAAAATATCATTCTAAGTGATATATGCCACATATAAAAGGACACATATATGATTCCATTTACATGAAGTAACTAGAAGAGACATATTCACAGATACAAAAAAGTAAAACAGAGGTTACCACTGGCTGTGGGGGCAGAAGGAATGGATAATTCTTGTTTAATGGGTGCAGAGTGTCAGCTGAGGATGTTGGAAAAAATCCTGAAATGTACAGTGGTATTGGCTTTACAACTTTATGAATATACTTAATGCCATTGAATTGTACCTTTAAAAATGGTTGAAATGGTAGATTTTATGTTATGTATATTTTAGCACAGTAAGAATTATGTACTCAAACAAGGTGATCACCCCATGTAGAGCCTTCCAATTAGACTAAATGGTTTGAGGAAAAAGAAAGTGTATTGTTCCAGGGGCTGGTAGATTTGATAAACTTGTCCTTGAAGGTGGAGATAGAACCATGAGAGCAACTAACCAAGGAAAATACTAGGCTGCAAATTTGTTCGTGTTCTGAAAAGAGTTGTGGGAGTTTGCCTATGTCTAGACATTGAGTTATGCATTGAAGTGACACAGTCACTTTAGGGGCATTCATTGGTGCAAGACTTTGCAGGTGGACTTTTCACTGCTTCAGTGACTAGCCAGTCTCTGAAGACATAGAAAAAAAACCCCAAAATAATTCCTTCTTATTGAAGTGTCCTAAAAAACAGGCAGGGATACAAATCAGAGGAGCAGGCTGCTGTGACACCACACATACATTCCGTGTTCTTTCTTATTTCTTAGCTACTACTCAGGGAGAAAATCTGTGGTTCACTCTTGCAGAGTGTGAGCTGGTAAAACCATGCACTTAGCGCTATCTGCAACAAACTTGTCTCCTAAGGAGGGCACATGCCATTACAGGTGTGTCTTTTGTGTGCCAAGAACATCAGGTGGTTTGATTTGTAAGTCTGGAGAAGAAAGTTGGTACAACAACATGCAGAAGAACAAAACTAGATCATTTTCTCTCACCATACACAAAAATAAACTCAAAATGGATAAAGGACCTGAAAGTGAGACAGGAAACCATCAAAACCCTAGAGGAGAAAGCAGGAAACAACCTCCTTGACTTCCACCGCAGCAACTTCTTACTTGACACATCCCCAAAAGCAAGGGAATCAAGAGCAAAAATAAACTACTGGGACCTCATCAAGATTAAAAGCTTCTGCACGGCAAAGGAAACAATACATAAAACTAACAGACAACCGACAGAATGGGAAACAATAGTTGCAAATGACATATCAGATAAAGGGCTAGTATCCAAAATCTATAAGGAACTCATCAAACTTCACACCCAAAAAACAAATAATCCAGTGAAGAAATGGGGAGACAACATGAACAGACACTTCTCCAAAGAGGATATCCAGATGGCCAACAGACACATGAAATGATGCTCAGCATTCTTCCTCATCAGGGAAATACAAATCAAAACCACACTGAGATACCACCTCACGTCGGTTGGAGTGGCTATAATGAACAAATCAGGAGACTCTAGATGCTGGTGAGCATGTGGAGAAATGGGCACCCTCCCACAGTGTTGGTGGGAATGTAAACTGGTGCAACCTCTCTGGAAAACAGTATGGAAGTTCCTCAAAAAATTAACAATAGAACTCCCTATGACCCAGCAATAGCACTGCTAGGAATTTACCCAAGGGATAAAGAAATGCTGATGCATAGGAGCACATGTACCCCAATGTTCACAGCAGCACTCTCCACAATAGCCAAAACATGGAAAGAACCTACGTGTCCATCAACTGATGAATGGATCAAGATGTGGTATACTTGTGTATTCCATACAATGGAATACTACATGGCAATGAGAAAGAATGAAATCTGGCCATTTGTACAACATGGATGGAACTTGAGGATGTTATGCTGAGCGAAATAAGTCAGGCAGAGAAGGACAGATATCATATGTTTGCACGTATAGGAGGATTAGGAGGAAGCTAACAGAGGACCATGAGGGAGAAGAAGGGAAAAAATAGCTGGGGAGAGGGAGGGAGGCAAACCATGAGAGACTCTTGAATGCCAAGAACAAACTGAGGGCTAGTGGGGTTGGTGGAGAGGGGAAGGAGGGTATGGGCTTGGGGAAGGGCACTTGTTGGGATGAGCACTGGGTGTTATATGTAAACCAACCTGACAAACTGATAAACTATTTAAAAAAAGAGAAATGGGAAGAAATAGGAATGCATCTTGGGGAAAGAAATGAAAGAAACAGGGGAGGGAGGAGGTGAGATGGATTAAAAGGGTCAGGAGGAGCCAGGGAAAGGTGTAAACTCTGCCATCTCTGTATCTATAATTCTCATATTTCCATCTCTGGCTCAGGCCTTGCCCTTGGACTCTGGATTTGTGTGTCCAACCAGCCACTCACCACTTTACTTCGATAGAGGTTAACCTCTCACAGTTAGCGTGTCCGAAACAGAACTCCTCAGTTTCCAATACATCTTTATATATCTCAGCTGAGGCACCTCTATTCTCCCAGACACTCAAGCCCAAGCTTTTGGGAACCTTTCTTTCCTACCCCAAATCCTATGCATCAGAAGATCCTGTTGGTTCCCCTTCTGCATGCACCCGCAATCTGACCTCGTTCCCTTTCGTCTCCTGGCTACTGTTCCAATGCAAACTGCCTGTCCCTGTTCATATGAATGCAATGAGCTCTTTTTTTTTTTTTTTTAAATAGTGGTAAGTGTTTTTTTTAATGTTTTATTTATTTTTGAGAGAGAGAGACAGCATGATCAGGGGAGAGTCAGAGAGAGGGAGTCACAAAATTTGAAGGCAGGCTCCAGGTTCTGAGCCAGGTGTCAGCACAGAGCCTGATGCGGGGCTCGAACCCACGAACCGCGAGATCATTACCTGAGCCGAAGTCGTACACTCAGCCGACTGAGCCACCCAGGCGCCCCTGCAATGAGCTCTTGAATGCTCTAGTTGCTTATATTTATGCCCTGTGGTAGTCTAATTTCAATCAAATGTTAGAATAAATTAAAACTCATGTCTGATCATGTCATTTCCGTCTTCAAAACCTTATAATGGCAAACTTTTCACTCAGAGTAAAAGCCCAAATTCTCGAACAGAGCATGGGGATCAGGGCATGTGCACATGCTGTCTCCATGCTGTTCAGGAAGGCTTTTCTTCCAGAAAATCACATGGCTCACACCTCACCTTCTTCTAATCTTTACTAAAATCTCCCTTCTCAGTGATGCCCACCTAGGCTGCCTCTTTAAATACATCCCATTCTAAAGAGTCTCCCATTCTCTTAGCCAGCTGTACTATCATGTTTTTTTTTCTTAACACTCGTCACTTTCTAATATACTATGTTATTTACTTATTTGGTATGTCTGTTGTTTCCTGTCCTTTCCTCCACTATGATATAACTTCCTTGAGGGCAGCTACTTTTCTCTTTTAATAACCAGTATGCCCTAAGTTCATAAAGCACTTTCTGACATCTAGTAGTTATCTAGTAAATATTTGTGTAATCTGCAAAATGCCCAGTGTGACCCCTTTCTGAGATATGAAGTCTATTTTCACTGGAGAATTTCTCAAGAAATTATGAGAAGCTGAGTTTCCAATCAAGATGACTTGGGAGAAACAATCATTTGCATATACACAGTAAGAAGAAGAGCCTGAGAGAAGCAAACCACAAATGCTCTTCTCCACTCCCCCCCCCCCCCCCCCCCCCCCCCCCCCCCCCCCCCCCCCCCCCCCCCCCCCCCCCCCGCTCCACAGTCTTCCTTACACCACTGGCAGAATGGCAAAAATCTCATGGGATGAAAGTGGAGCCATAGGGTTTGAGAAGAGCAATGGTTAGACCTGTGAGATCTAGAATCAGACTGTCTGAGTTCAAATCATAGCCCTACCCAATCCCTATCAAAATAACACCAGCATTCTTCACAGAGCTAGAACAAACAATCCTAAAATTTGTATGGTACCTGAAATGACTCTGAATAGCCAAAGCAATCCTGAAAAAGAAAACCAAAGCTGGAGGCATCATAATTCCAGTCTTCAAGTTGTATTATAAAGCTGTAATCATCAAGACAGTATGGTACTGGCACAAAAACAGACATCCAGATCAATAGAGAACCCAGAAATGGACCCACAAATGTATGGCCAACTCATCTTTGACAAAGCAGGAAAGACTATCCAATGGAATAAAGACAGTCTCTTCAGCAAATGGTGCTGGGAAAACTGGGCAACGACATGCAGAAAAATGAACCACTGGAACACTGTCTTACACCATACGCAAAAATTAACTCAAAATGGAATAAAGACCTAAATGTAAGACAGAAAGCCATCAAAATCCTAGAGGAGAAAACAGTAAAAAAACCTCTTTGACCTCAGCCACAGCAACTTCTTACTCAATACATCTCTGGAGGCAAGGGAAGCAAAAACAAAAATGAACTATGGGACCTCATCAAAATAAAAACCTTCTGCACAGTGAAGGAAACAATCTGCAAAACTGAAAGACAGCCAACAGAATGGGAGAAGATATTTGCAAATGACATATCAGATTGAGGGTTATATCCAAAATCTATAAAGAACTTATCAAACTCAACACCCAAAAACAAATAATCCAGTGAAGAAATGGGCAAAAGACATGAACAGAGACTTCTCCATAGAAGACATCCAGAGGGCCAACAGACCATGTTGAAATGACGCTCAACATTACTCTACACCAGGGAAATACAAATCAAAATGACAATGAGATACCACTTCATTCCAGTCAGAATGGCAAACATTAATAATTCAGAAGACAACACTTGTTGGCAAGGATGTAGAGAAAGAGGACCTCTTTTGCACTATGGGTGGGAATACAAACTGGTGCAGCCACTCTGGAAAACAGTGTGGAGGTTCCTCAAAAAATTAAAACTGGAACTACCGTATGACCCAGCAATTGTGCTGCTAGGTATTTATCCAAGGGATACAGGTGTACTGTTTCAAAGGGACACATTCACCCCGATGTTTATAGCAGCGCTATCAACAATAGCCAAAGTATGGAAAGAGCCCAAATGTCCATTAATGGATGAATGGATAAAGAAGACGTGATATTATATATACATACATACAATGGAGTATTACTTGGCAATCAAAAAGAACGAAATCTTGCCATTTGCAACTACATGAATGAAACTAGAGGGTATTACCATGTTTTAGCTATTGTTGGAAAGAGCCTAAGTGTCCATCAATGGACGAATGGGTCAAGAAGATGTGGTTTATCTATACCATGGACTACTACATGGCAATGAGAAACAATGAAATCTGGCCATGTGTAGCAACATGGATGGACCTTGAGGGTGTTATGCTTAGCGAAATAAGTCAGGCAGAGAAGGACAGCTACCATATGTTTGCACATATAGGAGGATTAGGAGGAACTTAACGGAGGACCATGGGGGAGAAGAAGAGGGGAAATGGTGGGGGAAAGGGAGAGAGGCAAGCCATGAGAGACTCTTGAATGCTGAGAACAAACTGAGGACTGATGGATGTGTGGGGGAGGGGGGAGATGGGCATGGAGGAGGGCACTTGTGGGGATGAGCACTGGGTGTTATATGGAAACCAACTTGACAATAAACTATTTGTAAAAAAAAAAAAAAAAAGAAACTAGAGGGTATTATACTAAGTGAAACTAGTCAGTCAGAGAAAGATAAATATCATATGACTTCACTCATACGAGGAATTTGAAATACAAAACATGAATATAAGGAAAGGGAAGCCAAAATAATATAAAAACAGGGAGGGGGACAAAACATAAGAGACTTAAATATAGAGAACAAACAGAGGGTTGCTGGAGGGATTGTGGGAGGAGCTATGGGTTAAACTGGTAAGAGGAATAAAAGAATCTACTCTTGAAATCATTGTTACACTATATGCTATGTAACTTGGGTGTAAATTTAAAAATTAAAAAAGAAAAAAATGTAGCCCTACAATTCACTACTGAGTGACCTTGGACTTTTCTGTGCTTCCTTTTTCTTATCAGTAACTAGGGGGACGAAAATGTTTACCTTGGATGCAAAGTTCACAGGACATTACAAACATATACATTTCCAAGTGTGTGTGGAGCATGGTGAGTGCTCAGGAAGTTGAAAAGTTATTACTCATGAGATTTCTTGAGGCATGGAGGCATCAGTCAACACTAGATGATTAGGGTTAAGATGTGGATATGGATACAATTACAGATGCAGTTCATACAGGCAGGATTCTCCACATCTTGTATTCCCCTACTTTCCTCCCTACCCCAATCCAGCATGGAGGAGGACCTCCAAGGTAGTAATGCACAAAGTTCTATTCATTCTACCCAGAGAGAAGTTTGCTTATCTTAAGGGCTTGGTGGAGGGTATGCAGTAAATTTAGAGAAGTAGAAAATGAGGGTGAGTAGCTAAGAGACCAGGAACCAAGCATCTGTTCAATGTGCATTTCACGTAGAGTGAGTGGATGTCATGTGAAGAAATCAATAAGAAAGCGTTTTCAAATAACCCACACCCACGTGTGTACCCTTTCTCACACCCACTCATACGTGTACATACACACATACACAAGTGTATTCTTAAGTATATATAAAGTGTGGCCTAGCATGCTAGTGTACAGATCATTTTGAGGATTACATGAAATTGTAATACATGTTAAAAGCTCAGGAAAAGATTTGGCACATAGGAAACATCCAACACGTCAGTAACAAAAGTCTGGGAGTACACATGGCAGAACCGGAACTCTGGAGACCTCAGAGTGTGATGAGTGATGCCTCTTCTGTTCCCCTCTCTGTATTTTCTGAGGTTTCTGCAGTTAGCCTCCACTGAGAGGCCAAGCAGCATAACACGGTTAAGAGAAGGAACCGTGGAGCTGGGTGGCCTGGACATGAACCCCAGCAGCTGTACTGACTTAGGTAGGTGACATTGGGCCAGTTCCACTCTCTGCCTGAGTTTCTCCATCTGCAATTGGGAGCACAGTCCTAGCTATCAGGCAGGGGTGTTGTGAAGAGTAGATCACTTAATACGTACAAAATTGTCCTTGTGGCAGATTGAAGCATCCCTTGTCTGGATACCGCTGGTAACCAGCTGCAGTTGATGGATCCATAGAGGAAATGCTCACATCCCTGATTTCACGCTCTCAGATGACACCCAATCCTTGACCTTCTGTGGCAGCCCTGGATAGTATATCTGTGCTTACCTGGAGGCCCTTAATGTCCAGAGACATGGATGAGCTTGAGGGAGCAGGGAAAGAGGGTTGTACCCCAAGGCAATGCTTACCTATGACTCCCAACAGCAGAGCCAGCAGCAGGTAAGGAGGCAGGTGGGGCCTAGAGGCAGGGGCCGACATCATGGAGGTCTGGGGACCCTCTCTGTGCAAATGTGTGTGCTGGGGAGAATGAGCCTCTGTTCTGTAGAGAGGAAAGCCCGCCCCCTCCGTGATTAAGAGGAAGTACCTAGGAGGGGTGATATGGCTGTGAGGTAGCAATTTGCTTCTAGATTGTGAAACTGAGGTCATGCAGATAAGACCTCACTTGGTGAGGGGTCCTCTTCTTCTCTTTTTCAGAGAGAGTGAAGAGGCGCAGGAGAGATAATGCTTCCTTTCTGCATGTGGCCCCTGCCCCCTCCAGTAGGCCCTACCTCCAAGTTGAGGCCCCAAATTAGGTGTAGAGATTACAGAAGTCAAATGGATCAATGTTTTCTTTTATAGATTGTGCTTTTCACATCTTACCTTAAAATGCCTCTTCTAATCCAAGATCATTAACCTTTAGTTTTATTTTTGTCCTACAGTTTCTTCTAGAAGTTTGATAGTCTTAGGCTTTAAATTTATGTCTATGATCCATCTGATCATATTAATTTGTTCTTAGTATTTTTGTGCATATTGTACAGTAATATTTGCATAAGTTAATATATTTTTAGAAAATATCAAATTTTGTGTAGTAGACATGGAAATGGTCTAGATTCTTCTTCTCCTTCTCATTTTTTCCTCGTCCTCCTTGGAGTCCTTGTCCTCCTCCTCCTCCTCTTCCTCCTCTTTCTCCTTCTTCTTCTTTTTCTTCTTCTTTCTTCTTCCTCTTCTCTTAACATATGAATATCTAATTGTTTCAACACTATTTGTTGAAAAGACTCTCCTTTCCACATTGAATTGCTTTGGCACTTTTGACAAAAATCACTTGGCCAAATATGTATTATTTATGGGTCTAATTCTTTTTATTCATGCCAGAGAAAATTTAATTTTTTTTTTAAATATTTTTATTTATTTTTAGGAGATAGAGAGAGAGACAGCGTGAGCAAGGGAGGGTCAGAGAGAGAGGGAGACACAGACTCTGAAACAGGCTCCAGTCTCTGCGCTGGCAGTCAGCACAGAGCCCGACGCGGGGCTCGAACCCACGAACCGCGAGATCACGACCTAAGCGAAAGTCGGACGCCCAACCGACTAAGCCACCCAGGCGCCCCGAAAATTTAATTTTTTAATATTTAAAAAAATTATTATTAAAGTGACATACAGTGCTATATTAGTTTTAGGTGCACAACATAGTAATTAATTTGATGATTTTATGCATTATGCAATGCTCACCATGGTAAATGTAGTCACCATCTGTCACGATACAATGTTGTTCGAATACTGTTGACTCTATTTCCCTGTGCTCTACGTTCATCCCTGTAACTTATAGGGCAGGGTAGTTTTTTTTCTTTTTTTTCGAAGTTTTATTTAAATTTTAGTTAGGTTAACATAAAGTGAAAGTTTCAGGAATATAGTTTAGTGATTCATCAGTTACATTCAACCCCTAGTGCTCATCATAACAAGTACTTTCCTTAATACCGAAAACTCATCTAGTCCACCCCCAACCCACTTTCCTTCATCAACCCTGAGTTTGTCTCTATCACTAACAGTTTCACACGGGTTCATTCCCTCTCTTTTTCTTTGTTCTCTCCTCCCATATATGTTCATCAGTTTGGTTTTTTAAATTTCACATATGAATAAAATCATGTGATATTTGTCTTTCTCTGACTGACTTCTTTTTCCTGGCATAATATACCTAGCTCCATCCATGCCATTGTAAACGACAAGATTTCATTTTTTCTGATGACTGAGTAATATTCCCTTGTGTATGTAAGTGTGTGTGTTGCCACATCTTTTAAATATGCCACATCTTTTTTGCTTATATTTGTAATTTATTATATCAAGTATTTTGAAATTGATTTTGAAGGATTTAACACAAATACAGGCTCCTTACCAGCTTATCAATCCCAGAAATAATAGAGGTTGAAGGAATAGAGGAGAAATTCTCTTCATATATTTTGTAGTTATTACAAATATTCTGGAATAGTTTATTACTGAAAAACAGTTACTGCACTCCTTCTATACCTAGACTGTATGCTGGATTAACAGAATCACAGAGATAAATCAAAGAATAGTTTTATTCTCCAAAGGAATCACAACCAGATGACAAACTTCCAAGATATACCACTATATTTTTCTGTTGGCTCTCTGACAGTTGCAAGCAATCACATCATCCTTGGAGAAGTGGTACTTACACATCTGACAGAGCTAGACAAATAGATTCATTCACATGTTTGGCTGGCTCAAATCACAGAGAGTTATCATTGTGCTGACAGCAAACTCTTTGCTCTGTATTTATTCCCTAAGTAATGGGATTAAAACCTCATGTACACTGACAACACAGTAGATCATAATTAAGAATCATGTTCAAATGTATAATCCTATATATGGTGCCCTCAGGAATAAATGATCGCTGAAATTTATGTAGCTGCTAGAAACAAAACTCTAAGAACCATGTAAGTCTATGTATGTCATAGTAACTAGTTCCACATCTGACTCCTGGTAGGTTTGACTAGTATTTATTTCACTTTATTTAAAACTGTTCTGTAAAAAAAATTTAAGTATTTCATAAGCACCTTAAAACCACAGAAGTACAAGAAAAATGTTATCATCATTGAATTTAGAGCTTTTCATATGTTGTCCATAGACCTGTACTATATAGGAATATACATGGTAACCTGAGTATGAATGCATTTATTCTTATTTAAAGCAAACCAAAAAGAAAATCAGTTTATGAGTTGGAGGCCTCTAACCAACCTTAGGTAACCAAGAGTTACCTAACCTCACAGTGAAGAACCATGTTGAATAACATTTATACCCAACATGTACTGGTTCTATTTGTGGTGAGCTAGGAAATTAACAGCTAAACTAAATAGTAAATTTTAACGTTTTTTGGTTTTAATTTAAATTCAAGTTAGTTAACACATAGTGCAGTATTGGGTTCAGGAGTAGAATTCAGTGATTCATCACTTATATACAACACCCAGTGCTCATCCCAACAAGTGCCCTCCTTAATGCCCATCACCCATTTAGCCCACCCCCCACCCATCTCCCCTCCAGCAACCCACAGTTTGTTCTCTATATTTAAGAATCTCTTATGGTTTTGAGAGACTCTTGAATGCTGACAAAAACTGAGGACTGATGGATGTGGGGGGGAGGGGGGGATGGGCATGGAGGAGGGCACTTTGGGGATGAGCACTGAGTGTTATGTGGAAACTAATTTGACAATAAACTATTTGTAAAAAAAAAAAAAAAAAGAATCTCTTATGGTTTGCCTCTATGTTTTTACCTTACTGTATTTTTCCTTCCCTTCCCCTATGTTCTTCTGCTATGTTTTTTAAATTCCACATGAGGGAAATCATATTTTTGTCTTTCTCTGACTCACTTATTTTGCTTAGCATAATACACTCTAGTTCCATTCACACTGTTGTAAATGGCAAGATTTCATTCTATTGGCTGCCAAGTAATTTTCCATCATATATATACCACATCTTCTTTATCCATACATCAGTTGATGGACATTTGGGTTCTTTCCATAATTTGGTTATTGTTGGTAGCACTGCTATAGACAATTGAGTGCATGTGCCCCTTCAAATCAGCATTTTTGTATCCTTTGGATAAATAACTAGTAGTGCAATAGCTAGGTCGTAGGGTAGTTCTATTTTTAACTTTTTGAGAAACTTCCATACTGTTTTCCAGAGTGACTGCCCCAGTTTGCATTCCCACCAACAATGCAAAAGTGATCTCCTTTCTCTGCATCCTCACCAACATCTGTTGTTTCCTGACTGGTTAACTTTAGTCATTTGGACAGGTGTAAGGTGGTGTCTCATTGTAGTTTGATTTGTATTTCCCTGATGATGAGTGATTTTGAACATCTATTCATGTGTCTCTTAGTCATCTGGATGTCTTCTTTAGAAAAATGCCTATTGTTGTCTTCTGCCCACTTCTTTACTGGATTATTTGTTTTTTGGGGTGTTGTATTTGATAAGTTCTTTATAGATTTTGGATAATAACCCTTTATCCGATATGTCACTTGCAACTAGCAGTTGCCTTTTAGTTTGGTTGATGTTTTCTTTGCTGTGCAGAAACATTTTATCTTGACAAGGTCCCAATAGTTCATTTTTGCTTTTGTTTTCCTTGCCCCTGGAGACATGTCAAGTAAGAAGTTGGTGTGGCCAAGGGCAAAGAGATTGCTGCCTGTTTTCTCCTATAGGATTTGATGGTTTTCTGTCTTACATTTAGGTCTCTCATCCATTTTGAGTTAATTTTTGTGTGTGGTGTAAGAGGGTGATCCAGTTTCATTCTTCTGCATGTTGCTGTCCAGTTCTCCCAGCACCATTTGCTGAAGAGACTGCCCTTTTTCCACTGGATATTCTTTTCTGCTTTGTCAAAAATTAGTTGGCTATATAGTTTTGGCTATATATTTGTTGGCTATATATTTGTGGGTCCATTTCTGGGTTCTTTTTTTTTTAATGTTTTTTATTTTTATTTCTAGGAGAGAGAGAGACATACAAATATCTGATAACATACCTGTAGTTTGGTGGGTATTTACCCAAGATTGGAATATTTGGATCACATTGTAAATTCTATATTTAAAATTTAATGAAAAAATCCACTGTTTCCACAGTGGCTGCACCATTTTATATTCCTACCAACGACATAAAAGAGAGAAGCCATTTACAGCAATGTGGATGGAACTGGAAGGTATTATGTTGAGTGAAATAAGTCAGCCAGAGAAGGACAGATCCCATATGCTTTCACTCATATGTGGATCTTGAGAAACTTAACAGAAGACCATGGGGGAAGGGAAGGGGAAAAATAGTTACAAACAGAGAGGGAGGCAGGGAAGCCACAAGAGACTTTTTTTTTTATTTTTTTTTTAATGTTTTATTTATTTTTAGGAGAGAGAGAGAGACAGCGTGAGCAGGGGAGGGTCAGAGAGAGAGGGAGCCGCAGACTGAAACAGGCTCCAGGCTCTGAGCTGGCAGTCAGCACAGAGCCCGACGTGGGGCTTGAACCCACGAACCGCGAGATCATGACCTAAG